AAACCCAAAAAAAGAAAAACAAAAAGAAAGAAAGAAAGAATGATAGATAACTCGTCTTTGATTCGAAAATTAGAATGAAAATGCGAGCGGATCGTTTCGTCGATGTGTATATATATATATATATATATATATATACACAAGATTACAAGAGTCTGAAACGCAGAACAGAACAAAAGAAGCATGTACCATGAGGGGAGACACTACCTGAACGCTGCCCAAGAAAATTTCGATAAACCGATACGAGATCCTCAAACACATCCGGAAGTCCTGCGACGATCTATCGGTCTATCCATGGAAAGCAACGGCCAACACCAACAACCAAGTCGTCGAAGTCCGTCGAAGTGTTCCTCAACGTCTTTTACTCCTCAGCGTGTTCATCGCGCGGTGAAACAGGAGGCGGTCGTCCACGGAATAACGTGATAACTTTAGAATGGACAATTGGCCGGCGACTCGGCTCGGCTCGGCTCGGTGTCGAGAAAGGTCGTTGAACGAGAGCAACAACGATTCGGTGGACGAGACGAAGCGACTACATCGAGAAGACGACTATCTCGAGGCGGTTCGAACAGCTGGCGAGGAGGACGCGACGCATATCGACGAGGTCTCCGTCGAATGGCAACAGCAAGCGCGGAGAGGAGCTCTGAGAGAGAGTCCCCCGATCTCGGGCGTGTGTTGTTCGTCGAGGGAAGCGGAGGTGGGAAGAACGGTTGGTGGCGGTGGTAGAGGAGAGCGGTGGTCGAAGGACGACGCGATCGTCGACGAGATGATGACGTCGCGGTACGCGGAGGAACGCGACCGACGGTTTCCAGCCACCACCGAGGCGGTGGTTGTTCCGGTGGCTGCCTCGATTACCATGGCTCGCGTACGAATCCGAAGCGCGATTCTCGTCGAGGGGGAAACTGGGTCACGGAGTCACCAGCTAGGCGCAACCCCTCCTCCGCAAACGCGAACAACAGGGACGCCAAGGATCCGGAGGAGTCGTGCGCGACCCTGCCATTGCGCAACTCACCCCTTCTCTCTTTCTCTCTCTCTCTCTCTCTCTCTCTCTCTCTCTCTCTCTCTCTCTCTCTCTCTCGCACATTTTCAACCCTTTCTCGCGTGGCCAAGGCGTAGTTGCTGCGCGCACGATTTACGATTTTTGGGTGGTGTATAAGGGGATTTTTTGGTATTGTTTGACTGTTCGGGATGGTTACTCTAAAAAGTAGCTGCGTTCTTTTTCTAGCAGATAGTCTAAATATTGTAGTATGCGACTGAACGTCATTTTAAAACTGAAGGAATTTTATTTTGAGTACGTATCGTAGTCTGTGAGCTAGTTGTTTCAAGAACTCGTTTCTAGAGAAAGAAAATGCACGATTTACAATTACTGGGTAGTGTGATTATATATAAGGGGATTTTTTGGTATTGTTTGACTGTTCGGGATGGTTACTCTAAAAAGTAGCTGCGTTCTTTTTCTAGCAGATAGTCTAAATATTGTAGTATGCGACTGAACGTCATTTTAAAACT